AAGATAGAAATGCTAGTGCTTATTATTTGATTTTTTGATGATAGCCATTGTTTCTGGGTTAAGAGTATCTCAAGGTAGCTTTAATTTGAAGTTCTCTAATGGTCAGTGATGTTGAACATTTTTTCCTGTATTTGTTGGCCATTTGTACTTGTTCTTTGGAGAAGTATCTATTTGTTTCTGTTGCCCATCTTTTGATTGGGTCTTTTATTTCTAATTTTTTGAGATCTTTATATATTGTACATGTTAGTCCTGTGTCTGAAGAATAGTTGGAAGTTTTTATACCCATTATGTAGAATGTCTTTTTGCTGTTGGTTGTTTCCTTTGCTGTGAAGAAGGTTTTTAATTTGATATGGCTCCATTTGTTGATTGTTGTTGTTATTATTTCTTATGACATACACCTGTGTCTTCAACAATTTTACCTGTTTTGTTATTCAGTAATTGTTTTTGTTTTCACATTTACATTTGGATCCATTTTGATTTTAGTTTAGTATGTGATGAGATACATGGATCTAGACTCAAACTTCTGCATGAATATCTAGTTTTCCTTATTAAAGAGGAATGTTTTTGGGCCATTTGTCAAAGATCAGATAGCTGAATGTACCTGGAATTATTTCTGCTTTCTTTATCATGTTCCATTGATCCACACGCGTTTCATTTTTTCTTTTCTTTTCTTTTCTTTTTTTTTTTTTTTGGCCAGAAACATGCTGTTTTAATCACAGTAGTTTTGTAGTATAACTTCAAATCTGGGATTTTGATGTCTCTCTTTTTGATTTTATTACTCAGAGTTGCTTTTGTTTTCAAAGTCCCCTAAGGTTCCATATGAATTATAGACTTACCTTCTTTAGATCTGTGAGAAATGCTGTTGGTACGTTAATTGGACTTGTATTGAATCTGTACATCAGTTTTGGAAGTATAGCCATTTGATTATATCTGTTTGGCCCGTTGAGGAACAGGGGATGCCATTCCATTTTCTGATGTCCTCTTCAACTTTCTTTTTTGGAGTGATGTATTTTTCATTGTAGAGGGCTTTTTCTTCCTCGGTTAGGTTAATTCCTAAGTACTTAATTTTCTTGATACTGCTTTGAATCGTTTTGTTTTCCTAATTTCTTTCTCAGTGAGTTCATTATTAATGTATGGGAACACTGTGGGATTTTTATGTGTTAATTTTGTATCCTGGTACATTGCTGAATTTGTTTAAGTCTAGGAGTCTTTTGGTAGAGTTTTTTTGGGGTCTTGTAAATAGAGGATTGTGTCATCTGCAAATGACAATACTGGTGCTTTATCCTTTCTATACATATCCCTTTTATTTTTTCTTGTCTGATTGCTGTGGCTAATGTTTTGAGGGCTATGTTGAACAAAAGTGGTAACAGTGAACATTTTTGCATTGTTCTTGATTTTCGAAAGAAAGCTTTCAGTTTTCCCCCATTTTATATGAAATAGATTGTTGCTTTGCCATAAGTGGCTTTTATCAGATTTGAGGTAAGGTCCTTCTGAACCTATTTTCTTCAGTTTTTTTTTAAAATTATAAATGGGTGTTGGATTTTGTCAAAAATCTAACTGCATCTTTGAGATGATCATATGATTTTTGTCTTTGCTTCTGTTTATGTGATGAATTGCATTTATTTGTGTATGTTGAACTGTCCTTGTACCCCTGGGATGAAGCTTGGTTCATCATGGTGTATGATGTTTTTGGTGATTTGTTGCATTCTGTTTGCCAGTACCTTGTTAAGGACTTTTGCATCTATGTTTATTAGAGAAATTAACCTGTAGTTCTCTTTGTTGGTTGCATCCCTTGTCTGGTTTGGAGATCAGGATAATGCTAACTTCCAGTAATGACTTTGGAAATATTCTTTTCCTTTCCATTTTATTCCAGAGTTTGAGTAATATTGGTGTTAGATCTTCCTGAAATTCTTACAGAATTCAGCAGTGAATCTATCAAGTCCAGAGCTTTTCTTAGTTGGTAGTCATCTTTTTTAAATTACTGCTTCAATTTCATTGCCTATTATTGGATTGTTCAAGATTTTTACGTCTTCTTGGTTCAGTTTTGGTAGTTCACATATATATAGGAACCTCTTCATGTTTTTGAGTTTTCCAAATTTTTGCATATAGATTTATGAAATAGTTGCTAATAATTTTCTGAACTTTGATGTGTCTATTGTACTATCACCCTTTTTGTTTCTAATGCCTTGATTTGTGGTTTTATTTTCCTTTTTTTGGTAAGATTCACTAATGGTTTGTCTAATTTGTTTATACTTTCAAATAACAAGGTCTTTGATGCATTGAGTCTTTTATTGTTTTTCAGATCTCCATTTCATTGACTTCTGCTGTGATCTTTATAACTTCCTTTCTTATACTAACCCTGAATTTGCATTGTTCTTGTTTTTCTAGGCCCTTGAGATGCATTATTAAGTGATTTAATTGGGTTTATTCTGTTTTTCTAGTGTAGCCATTCACAGCTATAAACTTTCCACGTAGAACTGCTTTCATTGTGTTATATAGGTTCAGGTAGGAACTAACTTCTTAATTTCATCTGTGTCACATTGATTATTTAAATGTGTATTTGCATAGTTTCTGTGGTTTCTTTTACTATGGATTCCTAGTTTCAGTTCACAGTGATATGATAATATGCGTGGTAAAATTTCACTTTTGTACTTAACTTAAGCAAGCTTTATTAGCTAGCATATTATCTATTTCAGAGAAAGTACCATGTGCTGCTGAAAAGAATGTATTCTATATATATTAAGTCGCTTTGTTTAAAAGTTTGGTTCAACTCTGATGCTTCTTTGTTAATATTTGTTTAGTCGCTGCCTGCTTTCTTTCACTTAGTATGTTTTTGCAGCTCATCCGTGTTGTCACATGTATCAGCGTTCCATTTCTTTTTATGGCTGAATATTACTCCATTGTATGGATATACTGCATGTCCTTTATCCAATCAGTAGCCGAGGGGCATTTGCATTGTTTTCACCTTTGACAAATACAAGCGATGCTGCTATGAACATTCAGCCATAAGTATTCAGTGTCTGTTTTTAGTTCTTTTGGATACATAGGGATAGAATTTCTGTATCATGTGTTAACTCTTTAACTTTTTGAGAAACTGCAAAATCATTTTCTACTGTGACTGGGTTTTTTTTTTTTATTACTACCAGTAATGTACCAATGTTTCAATTTCTCTACATCTTGTCATGCTAACTTTTCTGTGTTTTGATTATAGTCATCTTAGTGCTATGTGTGGAATCTCACTGTTACTTTGCTTTGTATTTCCTGATGTTTAACGCTATGGGTGTATTTTCCTGTGTTTATTGTCATTTGCATGTCGTCTTTGGGGGAAATGTTTATTCACATTGTTGCCTACTTTAATATTGTTTTCTTTTAAAAATCGAGTGATTAGAGTTCTAGATATATTACAGATACAAGTCTTTTCAGATACATGGTTTGAAAACAGTTTTTCCTAATCTGTGTGTTGACTTTCCACTATCTTAATGGAGAGTATGAGGGATTATTTAGTATTAATTAGCTTTTAAATATTAGGGCAGTTCCATCACTGGTACCAATAAAAAAAATATTTAGGGACAATTTACAGTTGAAAGCATCTGAATCTGAACTTTTCTTTGTGGGTAGTTTTTTGCACTAATTCAATCTCTTTTATTTTTTACATGACTTTTTATATTTTTCTACTTCTTTCTGAGTCAGTTTTGATAACTTATAATTTTCTAGGAATTTGTCCATTTCATCTAATTTATTGATCTATAGTTGTTACAGTATTTGTATTTTTTTTTCAAAGAGACACAAGAAGGAGTTTTAGAGAAGGGTTATACAGAACACAGTCAGGAGTGGAGGGTGCTCAGAGAAATGAGGCGCCTGTACTTGTATTTTATTCTGTCAGTGTAGCTTACTCTAACCAATTTGCTATAGATTTGCATTTGTTGCCATTTTTTATTATTACAAGTACTGGAATGCAGCAGTAAACATTTTAATTCTATTGTATACGTATGTAAATGTGTTAGAGTACAGAGTGCTTGAAGGGTAATTGCTGGATCAGAGGTCTGTGTATTTATAATGTTGATTCTTTCATCTCCATGTCCTCTTTTTATCTTTACTGATTTGTATAAACTCTTTATGGCTGGATCCTGGAGTTGCTAATACTATTCAGTGTGGCTGGTGCTTTGGTACCTACAGCAAGTGGGAAGGATAGGTTTGGGGTCTAAGGACTTGGCTCCTTCTAGTCAAGCATGCTGGTGCCCCAAGCCTACTCCTGGTCAACTATGTTCCCCTCCCAGCCTATTTCTGGTCCAGTCTGTCGAGCCCATACATTCATGGAGTGGGAAGTGGAGTCTTTTGTGGGATCGCTGTCTCTCCTTCGTTTGGGCAGAGCTGTCTGATCCTCAGCTGTCCACTGTACTTCCTTTTTCCCCTCTAGCTAGAGTTTACAAGGGAGGCACCAAAGTAGGTTAAGGTTTGGACAGATGCAGTTTGAGATTTTAAAAATAATCCATCCAGGTGCCTGGGGGTGAGGGCTGGAGCTTGAGGCCCCTTGGCTGCCCTAGTTAGAGTAGCTCAGTGCTTTTTGGCTTTCTCTGTCCCCTACTAAGTGAAGTCTATGCTGCCACAGATATTAGAAAACTACTTGTGTTGGACATCTTGTTCCTCCTGCTAGGTTGAAAACATCCCAGACTTGAATCCTGCTGAAGACTGAGTCTCAGCAAGTGTTTTGGGGAACCTTGGCTTTTCTTTGGGTCCCTATGCCCCTACTTGCCAAGACTGAGTGGCTGCCCTCCCCTGGGCCCCTTGCCAGCCCAGGCTTGTGTTATTTTTCTTCTGTTGTATGGGGTGTTCTGGCCCTCCAGCTCTGTGAAGGCAGAATCAGATTATCTCCTCTCTTGACCCAAATGAATTTCATCCCTGGGGAAGGCCCTGGCTGTGCTTCCAGACAGTGAGCTGGAGGCTTTCTCTGACTTCCTGGCTGACACAGTTTCTCTCCCTTCCCCCTTTGTGTCTTTCAGTCTGCGGAGTTCTTCGAGATGCTGGAGAAAATGCAGGTGAGTACCCCCAGAGTGGGGAAGCATCCCAGCTCAATATGGGGGCTCAACGCCGCAGGTGCTTTGAAGGGAGAGGCCTTTCATCCTGGAAACTCTGAGGCCGTGTTGCTGTTGAGTGAAATAGAACACTTTGGAAGCTTCTGACTAGGAGGTGGGGAGGAGGGTAGAGGGAGGTGGACAAGGACTGGCTCGGGATGCCAGAAATGCCACCCCTATGGGGAGGGCATGAAAAGGGCCATTGTTCCTGGAACTGGTCGGAAACAAAGCTTAAAAAAGCAAGTCCCATCTGAGGAGAGTGCTCTTGTGTCAGGGAGGCAAATCTGCAGTATGGGAAGTGGACCCAAGTTCAAATCCTGTGCCGGACACTTACTAGCCCAACTTCCTTACCTGCATAAAGCCCAAGTTTCCAGACCTGTATAAATAACTAAGAATGGAGGACGCACTGCCATGGTGGTTAGGATGAAATGAGAAAACACATAAGGTAGGCACCTCGCCGAGTGTGGATTTACAGGTCCTTAACAATCGTAGTCTATATCTTCAGGTTTTAAATCTTCATGTTAAACTAGTCATGGTGAAAACAATTCAGGGGAACAGCAGTGTCTGTATTGATCATGTGCAGATTTTTTTCTTGTCATGCTTTCCTAAACAATACAGTATAACAAATATTTACATGACATTTACATTGTATTAGGTATCTGTTGTAGTCAGGGGTTGTGCAGAGGACAATTAGAATCAAGACACAGAATTTATAATATTATTTTATGATGGTCACCCAGAGTTAAACACAGAAAGTGCAGGAAATCTGTCCACAACACTAAAGACATAGATTATTTAGCCAAGGGCCTGGATCCCACAGCAGTGTCCTGCATGAGTCCAGATGAAAACCTAGAGCCTGTGACAGTGCCTTCCATGAGTCCAATTGGAGATCTAGAGCCCATGAGAAGGACTCACGCCAGTCTGTTTTACAGATCCGCGCAGGGAAGGCCCTAAAGTCAGTGGTGGAAGCTAGAGAGTCTATGCCTGTGGGGTGAAGGAGCTGTGCTGGTAGTTTGAGGGTTCTACACTGGAGCCAAGGAGTCACACTCAAAATAAGAACCAGAGCTGCGCTGAAAAGTACCACAGCCATCCTTAGCGACACGGAGATCCCCAGCTCCTCAGATGACAGGAACAGTTGAGTATGTGCCAGAAAGTAACATGACGAGTTTGTTCTGGAGATTAGATGGCACACGTCTTCCCCTCCGGAGCCAGGAAGTGATGCTCCATGTAAGGACTGAGCTCCCCCAAAGTGAACCACCGCCATTCTCAGCAACAAGGTCCTGAGTACCTCTGATAACGATGGTCGAACTCACATTGGGGAAGCTGCTTATGACGAGCTCCTCCAGGAGAGCCAACAGTTCAAAGCAGCAACACTTGGAAAAACCCACAATGCCTCGCTCTTCTTCTCCAAGGCTCTATTTATGCTGGCAACTTTCCTCAGGTGGAATGTCTAAGATCAGTACCATGCTGATTTAATTCAGCTGGTGTTAAGATGATCACCAGTTTTTAATCCATAACAGTATCACTAGCAATCTAGAGATTATTTAAATTACAGTATATAGGAGGATGTGTGTAAGTTCTGTGTAATACACCATTTTATAAAAGGGACCTGAGTATTTGTGGATTTTGAATTGTTGGGGATCCTAGAACCAGTGCAACTGAGGTCAGGGCTCACCAGTGAGAACTGTTCCTTTGAAAATTAGTACAGGTCCAGGTTTCATTGACAGGAGTAAGGAAAGTGGAATGAAGCTGATCCTGACACGCAGTTCAGACACTCCTTGAACTCAGAGATTGACAGGCGTTCTTTCATCCTGACCAGGTGCTCAGATACAATTGTACTATGTCACTGTCTCCAGATCGTAGGTGAGGAAACTGAAGCCTGAGCTATTAAATGAAGCCCTCAAGGGTCTGTGCTAGTAAGAGGTGTCCAAGCCAGAGGCTCTAGTCGTTGTGTTATAGAACTTTTTACCCTAAGTGGAGGGGAAAGATTCTTTAATAGAGTCTGCAGGCTCCTGGAAGAGGGGCAGGAATAGTACCCTGTGCTACCCTGAGCTGCAGGTGGACTTGCCAGGTCTCCTAGGGTGAGGCAGGGTGAGAGAGACTGTTGGAGGGAAAGATGTTAAAAGTTGTGACATCACCAGAGTGAATTGTTAAGATTCTTCTGTGTGCCCAGCAGTGTGGATTGCAAACTGATTTTATATGTGTTTAGGGAACTTATAGCCAAGTTGTAAAAGGGACTGGCATCCACACTGTGTGAGTGGTGGGAGACAGGGTTTAATTAAGCACTCAACTTCTTGGAGCAAACCTAGGATTTTCTCTTAAGCCTAGGACCCCACCAGCCTGGCAAACTGGTGGGCAGATTGGCAGCTCGCCCTGCCTTCTTCCTGGTTGCTCCCATGATGCATCATCCCTGTTCACCCCCAGCTGAGTCTCTTGCCTCCCTGCAAAGGGTTTTCTGTGTGAGAGCACAGTTCAACCCTGCTTAACTGGCCTCACGCTGGTCTGTTTTCAAGGCTGCTGGCTTGTCTTTTTAGCTCTTTGCTTCCCTAGAGCATACCTTTTTATTCTCACTCTGGATCTCCGTGATGTCTAATATCCACGGTAGTTTGCTGCTTCCTCCCAGTTGGGACTGGAAGCTAAGCTTGCAGTGTGTAAGACCATCAGGTGCCCACTGGGTGCCATCCTTGGAGAGCCCATACTTTCTAGCAATTCCATTGATATAAAACTTATACTGGTGAACAGATGGTGATGGAGTGCTGCACAGTATGGCCAGGTCTGTCCTGGCCATGGACTCTGCTTTGCTGTACCTTGCAGGTGTGGAAACTGAGCCACAGAGCCATTAGGTCACTGTCTAATTGCAATGAGCTGAAATGAGAATCCAGGACCCCTTTCCCACATGAGAATCTAAGAATTTGAAGAAGGCCACAACCACTGTGAAACCAAGAGGCTGGGTGAACATACTTTGGAAATAGTAATATTATGTATTAGAAAGGGTAATATGCAGAGGGGTGAGGGTCCCTAGCTTGGGGCAGTAGCTGTGTTGTAGGGGAATCAGTGGAGTGACCAGGGGCCCAGGTGATTTGCTTTCCTGTTCCAGGGACTGTTCCCAGACAGGGATGACTAATGCAGGACAAACAAAACATACTCTTGACATCACTCTCCCATCCCCACCCGCCCTGTTTGCCAACCCGAACAGGGTCTGCAGGGCCACCCAGGTGTTTTCTGGCTGTGTGTGTAGAGCACCTGTCTGGTGGGAAGGGCCCTCCCACACCCTCCTGAACAATGCTGCAGGGTGACTCAGCCCAGAGGAGTCTGAGGGAGCTGCATCTACATCTGTCCAGTTGGCCGGAGCCCTGGTGTCTAGGGACGGTGGGGTGTATTTATTCACTGGACAGGAAGGTGACCCGGCTTCAAATCCAGGCCCTGTCACTCAGTAACTGTGTGACCTTAGGTACACAACTTCCACTGTAGCCTCAGTTTCCTGGTTGGTGAAAGGTGCTGTGAACTTCAAAGGAGGCCACAGAAAGAGCTCACTTTGGAGGTTTCCAGTCCCTTACGTTCTGATCAGGCAAAGACTGTTTCTGGAGTCTCCGGTCTCTGGCGGGGAACTGTTTCTCCTAGTTTGCTGCAGCAGCATATAGCCTCACTTGATTTACTCACTTTTGGGGCAGTAGGTATTCCCCTCTCACACAGTCCAGTTAGGTCAGAACCCAGTCATAGGACTGCTGGACAAAACACTGCTCCTGAATGTGAATTTTCCAGATCATGCAGGTGAACCCCTTCAATCCAGTCCTAGTCCTTGCACTTAATTCTTGAAGTACTTCTTGCATCTGTGAGATGAGGGTGCTGGTCTGATCCTTATTTTATAAATGCTGTAGCAGAGACTCCATGGGTTGTGAATAGCAAGCCTGTAGCTCAATGAGGGGCAGACCAGACCTCCTGCCTGTTACCCACAGGGCTGCCATCTAGGAGGGACTCGGATTGCATGCACAAGTGCCAGAGTGCTGCCTCTGACACCAGCAGCCGTGGGTTTCCATTTCCATGCCCACTGCTGGCCCCATGGCCCGAGGAATGTGTTTAAGCTCTAAGATGGTAACACCTCAGAGCTGGGATGATAACCCTTAGGTTTACCAGTGTTCTGCAGGCTTAACCCACTATTAACCTTTAACCTTTACCACGGTGGTGAAGGTGAGAACACAGACTCTCAGGGAGGTTTCTGTGACTTGCCCAGGGTCAACAGTCTTACATGGAGGTGCTGGGATCTGAATCTGTGTGATTGGCTTTGGTCCATGCTTTTTATAAAAATATTTAAAAATTAATTTTTATTAGTACAGGCTTACCGTACATACTTTCATTGTGGGGAGTCGGTACATGTACATAGTACCTCCCAATTCTTTTTTCACCCTTCCTTTCACCCCATTTTTGAAGGTTTTTTTCTTTTTGCCAGCATCAGGTTTATTTACTTTATATCTTTATCAAGTTAACGATCAGAAACACAGATTAACAGTCAGACTGATGGGCCAAAAACCATATAAAACATGATGGTGGTTATGTCTGATCAAGATTCACTTTTAGATACACTGGCCATACTGGACTACAGTAATTTTCTCTTTTTTTTTCCTGTTCTCTTTTATTTTGTACTTTATTTACATATTGGGTTTCTCATATAAGAGAAAACATGTGATATTTAAGCTTGTGTGATTGTTTTGTTTCACTTAACGTTTTGTTCTCAAGGATACCTACTTTCTTATAAGTTACTTAAGTCTGCCTTTCTGGATGGCACAGTAAAACTCCATTGTGTATAAATATCACATTTTCTTTATCCATTCATCTGTTGGAGAATATATAAGCTGCTTGCAAAATTTAGGTGTTATGAATTGGGCTGCTATAAACATGGATGTGCATTTATCACTGTAATTTGATGTCTTGAACTCTTTTGGGAAGATAACTAGGAGGCTGGGTCA